TTATATTATTATGGATGTTATGGGTTTCCAGAAACAACTTGTACTAATCAAAAATTGAATTAAAATTATTTATGAAAACGAACAATAAAACTTAACCATGCAAGTGTACGTATTAAGTCAGTGGTAAACGCTAAGAAGACACATTTAGGAGTACTAAAGCAATAACCATATGCATTTCTGTGAAACCACTGGTAGTTTCGAAATTCTTTGAAGGTTTAAGGAAATTGAATTTGTGTAAAGCTGTGCTTTTGTAGCTTTGTGGAGCAACTTGCAGTAACAGCAAATCTCGTGTAGGATTTCTCTACTAAACGAAATTTTAGATGCACTGCATGCAAATTAGTTTGTGACACCCAAAGTTGCCCAAAACGTTGACAACACAACCTTATTCCAATGACAAAGACGTGTTGTAACAAACAACTGAAACTGTAGCACAATCAAGTAGTGAAAAAGTGCTAATGATAATATTAATTAATCTATATATATAAAAGAAAGTCGTGTTAGTTACTCCACTTATAACTCAAGAACGGCTGAACCGATTAGCTGAAAATTGTCAGGGAGGTAGTTTAGAGCCAGGAGAAGGACATAGGATACTTTTTATCCCGTTCGAAATTAAAAAAAAGTCTATTATTTATTGCCATTAAGGCGGAACAACAAAGTTCGCCGGGTCAGCTAGTGATAAATGAAATAAAGGTGCTTTCGAGTCAGTAATCGAGTATAAAACGTTTGCCTTTTAAGTCAAAGAAGACCCGACTTGCGTTTGATTCGCTTGGAAGTTACAATAATGGCAAGTTCCAAGTTGCTCAAGTTATGATGGCAACTCGTGGCTTTTGAGCCGACCTTATCGACTTCACCACTGTTACCGCCAGATGGCGCTAACATCTACAACTCTGAGATCTAACCCTTTGTTAAGTTTCATTCGAACTAACTCTACTTTCTTCCAAGTTTTATCATTAGTGATTTGACTTTACCTACCTTTATCTGTTAAATATTTTACTAGCCTCATTTTTCTTCTCCTTAGGGCCTTATTTATGTAATGTTTTTTTTATTGTGTTTTCAATAATGGAGATTGGAGACTAATAAATCCTGAAAATTGTCAAAAAATAGCAAACTATCAGCAACAAACTACTGACTGTGTGTGTAGGTAATGGAAAATATTAATTTGGCAAAGCTTAATATTTCTATGAAATGAAATGTTTGAATCAAAGTTAGGAACTTTGAGAAGAATTCATATCAGATTTGAGGTAGGTACAGTCAGGACTCGTTTGATTAAAATTGTTCGCCCGCAACTCACAGGGCGCGCTCCAGCAAAAACGATGAAAACGTTGAATGAGGCTTGATTACGAGATTACTTTGAACGGTAATTTGTCTACTACGAGTATAGTAACTTATTAGTTAGTTAGCACCACCTAACTTTGATCGTAACTATAAAGATAACCGGTGTTTTTTGTATGGAGTTTGACAGATTTTTGACGTTTGTCAAAGTTAAATAAAGTAAGATGGTGTAACCCAGCCTTACTAATCTGTGGTTTTGCACTATACTTCTTACTCCAAATATTATTTCTTCTTAATTACGAGTACTGGGTGTAACTGGTTATAATACCGCTTAATCGGCGCGGTTACGGTTGCGATATTTGTTTTTTACGAAATGAAATTAAAAAATGTTTCCCAGAACAATCACCAAATAGTTGTAGACGCTTTAGATTTAGTAGAGGATTTAGGTTAATTTCCAAATAGGACACACATAGAGTGAACAATTTTTTAGCTTAGGATAATTCATTGCAGGCTTGTGATTGAAGAAAGATGATTGTGTGTGATGAATTAAATGTCGATTGTTGTGAAACGTGCTTGTCTGGCTTATCACTGTTACTGATTTTAATAAGCTATGATATGGTGCTTGCTCCATTCCCTTTCTGACAATCAACTATCCCAGACACCTCAATCTCCACAAGCAGATTATGCGCCCCAATAACGTAGGATGCCCGCGTAACTTCATTACTTACTCCGTGATGGCGCATCGCTAAGGGTATGAGGGCTGTTGGCTGCTAACAACTCAATTACTCGGCGGTAACTCAGTCTTCATCAAATTGGATAGTCCAATAATAGTGAATAGTCACTTGCTCCAAAATTAGCGAGGTTCTTTGAAATGTAGCCATTTGCAGTTTGCATTAATTAAACATCTGTAGCACACTGACCTTACGATGAGCTATAGTTGTCCTAAAACAAAATATGAAAAGTACCAACCCCTTAACTAAAATGTTTCTTGCATTTTGTCAACAATTAATGTTCATTTCGATTCATTGTAATCCGAATCAATGTAACCAAAATGTAATTCTCAAGCATTGATCAGTCTAGGCTTGGGTATCGAATATCAATGCTTTTAACCAGTTACAAACATTTAAGTATTTTAATTTTACGTTATTCAGTACCTAGAGTTGACGAACTAATGAATGCATTTCCACGCTCTAAGGTGGTTTAACAGCTGAATTAGTATTCAGATTGGTTTTGGTGCATACAAAAACTCAATTTTTGTCTCTTAAGTAAATGATACGGGTTTTGACCTTGGACCAAACGAATGTTTGCATTTCCTCACACATCGGCTTAGCCTTAACCATTTCAGCAAATGAATCCGCCTAAGGCCGTGTGAAATGATCCAAGCATTTTATTTGCGATCACAATGTTTGCTGAACATAAATTGTAATAAGCATGTCTGTCGTTTGTGTGCTTAAATGCTATTTTTATCATTTCACGCTAACTTTATGATAATGAGATAGATACAGGATAATCTACATACGAATAAAAATCTGTATCATCATCATAATAAGTTTTATGACAACCTGAAACTTGAAATAGAAATGAATATCTTTATTTGCTTCAAACATGGTATAAGGATTGGTTTTTACAATGTGCTCATGTTTAGCCTTTTAAAAATAACATGCAAATCATTTGAATTTTAAATCATTTACAATACAATTATTATGATAATTTAAGAATCTTGCACAAGACTACAATATTCACACACGGAATGTTTAAAAGTATTTTTTAATGTATCCAAAATGAATGTAACTGGACAGTTTTCCATCTATTAACATTTCACAACATTTTTGTAGCTGATTCGTGTTCAAAATAATATCAAGAAAGGTCTCCTCACTTTAATAAAATGCTAGTGAAAAGTATGGAGCAATCCCAGAGCGTTTCCCATACTGAAAACCTTTTCCGGTAATGAAATGTGTCGGTATCTATATTAATAATAATGTTTTGTTTTAATGCAGCGACACTGCGATGCTTTTAGCTACGTAATAATTTTGGTTTCAAAAATATCATATAGATTAATTAGTATACATAGTCTTTTATGAGAATCGGTTAAGGTAGTTCATGTTCATGTAACAATGCATACCACACGTAAGCAGTAGCGTAAGTCCTAGCAGTATACTAATTTAAATGTATTAATATTATTAAAGGTAGCGGGAAGGCGCTGGATGCAGGCCGCTACCAACCGTGCGATGTGGAAGTCATTGGGGGAGGCCTATGTTCAGCAGTGGACGTCCTGTGGCTGAAATGATAATGATGATGAATATTCGGTTATTACATACATTGTTAAATATATTACACGCCTTTTTGCACGTTTGTGTAACTGAAACAAAGCAAATCTCAGACACAAAACGGATTTTTTGTGAAGTTTTAGATGTTTTTTAATTGTCTGATAACCCTTTATAGGACGGCCCATACAAAGTGGCCAATAAACTGGACAGTCACTTTACGGCCGATAATTCAATGATTTTTGTAACAATGTCGAACCTTATGATCATAAACGATAGCCAATAAAGCACGCTGGCCTAGAAACGAGCCAGCGCTCAAGGACGTCGCACGCAATCAAAAAATCGCGCTCTTTTTTAAGGTGGCCTGTCAACTGGCCACTGTGCACACCCGTACTAGTATTTGCTGCCATTGCAAGCAGACGATACATATTTCTTATAGCCATGTAAACTTAAATGTTCAGTCCATTTTTAACTTTTCGGAAAAGTTCAAAGCTGAATTTAAAAAAAACTAGATGATATTTGCCAGTAACTTTAGATTTGATGCAACCCTATATCAATGCACGTCAAAACAAAATATTTACTTTGAGGCTACGCTTAGTATTTTTTTTTTAAATCGAAATTAAATGATGCGATTTGGGTATTTTGGTGAAATTACTAAAAAACTTAATATAAAAGTAGCCGCCTGACATGGAACGTGTTATGGGGGCTGAAAATATAGGAAATGACCCATTCTATCCGCCAAATCATTTTGGCACACGATGCGCCAAACACCCTGTATATCCACTTAGAAATATAGCGAATTAAAAAAAAAGTTAGGGTGTGCGTTAAAGGGTTAAATTGGAATTGGCTATCGACTTTACTGCCCACGTCATACCATTTATTTATTGTATTTACGGTTAAGTTCTTATTAGTGATTTCAAGATAACGATTACAAAAATCGTGACCTAAACCTTGTTTGTTATCATAAGTATTAGGTAGTATTATCATACTTATAATAATCAATAAGTTGATATTTCGACGTCCTATTGAGGATTTAAGTATTACATATTATCTCTAATAGGAAGTCTAGATGTAAAGCAAGGCTGTCGTGTGATCCTTCAAATTAAATTCTTTCGTTTCATCCATTTACATTTGTTGTAAAAACAATCTTGTTGTTTAAACTTAACAAAATAGATGGATGAAGGTGAAAATTGAAACCTTTCGCTTGCCGAGCGACTAGACTGCTGCTTATAGCAGTTAAGCTACGGAGACACTGTGTTGGGCTGTTAATAAATTCCCAGTTCCCCTCAGTGGGGGCGATCATGGAGGGGCAACTGGGAATAACCCCTTTTCAAGTGTAGATAGCTAGGTGTACATATTACGCTGTAAGCCAAATCGAGGGTTCAATTGTCACCTGAGGCAATAGATTTAAAAAAAAAATATTTTACATGCAACTCTTTTAATAGACATCTCTTTTGTCTCCAGGGTCTCCGGGTGACCACCATCATCGGTTCCCTCGGCACGTGCCTGGGGGCATGGCTGAAGGTGTTCTCGGTCCCGCAGGACATGTTCTGGCTGGGCTTCACGGGGCAGACCGTGGTGGCCATGTCACAGGTGTTCATCCTCAACGTGCCGCCGCGGCTGGCGGCTGTGTGGTTCGGAGCTGACCAGGTCTCGTCGGCCTGCAGCATTGGTGTTTTTGGAAACCAGGTGCGTTTTATTTGTAAATAAACTACGTAGCATTAGAGCGCTCGTCATAACACCCTTTTAGGTACTCGTACTCTGAACATAGGCCGCTCGTCATAGCACTCTTTTAACCACTCGTACTCGTAGCATGAGGGCGCTCGTCACATCCTTTGCTCCTGTCCAGAAGGTTTGTAAAAAACAAACTGAGATCTCCAGAAGGTTTGTAAAAGACAAACTGAGTTTTTTTTTTGTTGCGGGAAAGTTCGACGCTGACCAGTGTCGTTGGCTCTCAACATTGGCGTGTTTTGGAACCAGATACGTGTCATTTGATCTTAAACGTGTAATAAACAAGTATTAGAGCGTCCGTCATAGCACCCTCGCTGAAAATTCGTAAAACAAATTGCAATTTTCTTCATTGAGCATATATTATGTTTTGGCGCTGACCAGGTTTCATCGGCGTGCAGCATGTGCGCTCGTCATTGCCCCTTTGCACCTTTTCACAAAGTTTGTAGAACGGACTGCGACTTTTTGCATCGCGGTGATGCATGGAGTTTTATCTGATAAGTTGAACGTCACAAAATACTTTCTTACACTTAGGTACACGTATAAATGACCAGCCGTTAAAATTTAATTGGAATGTAAACTTTACCTAGCTAGATGATGCTAATTGCGTCTTGAGTTTAGATAGCGTCTTGGTGCTATGTACGATATATCATTATGTGCATTTATCACAGAAGTATGTCGTTTAAGTAGGTACTTATATGTCTCTCAAAACGATATTTTCCTTTACCGGTTAGGTTGTTTTCAAGGTGATGGTTTCTGTATAAGGATACTGATGTTATGTTAAAAATTACGTATGTAATATCAGAGCGATAAAAAAAGAATAAGTAAAACGAAAACCGCGTGAAGCTGATGTTTCTTTGTTTTTCTCAGCTCGACGACTTTTTTTCGCCAGTCTCATTAAGCTTCAAAATTGTTTCTACTCCTGTGATTAGCAAACTTCAGGGCACTGCGTCAACCAATCAAAGGGAAGTTGGCTAATGAGTGCCCCCTGAAGTGCCGATGGGGCGATAATGGAATTTTTAATGGAGCATCGCGGGATAAGGGCATCGGGGCCAGTGGTAGGGTCACCAAGGCTTTTAGTTCTACCTTTATGAAAATGAGTATTTACATAGTTCTACTATTATGTGGATTATGTTTTCGGATCCATTTGTCCCTGTCGTTCAAGCCAACATCTTGCTCTAAGTGAAAGCAATGGAGAATAATGCCCGTTTTCACCGTCAATCCCTAATTTTTAAGTGACCCCTATGGTAACAAATAACAGGAATTTTGTTTACATAGGGGTCACTTAAGAATTAGGGATTGATGGTGAAAACGGGCGTAAGTCTGGTAATTGAAGATCCCCACTTAACTGAACATTAAAACTAGTATTATATTATCTGTGATTAAACTAATGTAAAACTATCTAATCAAGGTGTAGTAAAATACTCCAATGCCTTATTTTAACGGTTCATATCGTAAGATAAGCGAATAAATAAAGTATTTAAGTACCTTGCTCGGCCTTAGTCAAGAGCTAACGACCTAGGATCCGGTTAGTGTGGGAAGGTGAAGTTGAAAATATCCAAAATAAGGAAAAACATAAGATTTAATGGACTTCTACATTAGCTTTTTTTGACTTTCTATTTTACCCAAATGCTCAGATTATACAAAGACATGACATAATATTTAGTAATCTCTATCGAATCTAGTCTAGAATTATTGTTCTAGAAATCATTTATTGAGAGCTGAATATTGCTCTTACAGAATGACAGCTTTATGTTCTGAGTTCTACCCTAGAAGATGACACTACTTTTATCAATTCTGATTTACAAAATGTTGAACTACTTAAATAAACAATAATGACGAGGCCGCATCTCTTCAGTCTGCCCGCGACCATGACTCGTGCAACCGAGTTGAAATAATCTTTCTTTCTTTTTATCTGTTAGCCTGTAAAACTTATGGTTACCCTATCAACAGGCTACTCGCTTGCCTTTGTCCCGTTTTAAGCGGCACTAATGAACCAACTCGACTCGAGTAAACTTTGGCATCGATGACGTCATCGATCGTCAACCTGTGCCGTTTGTGAACATAAAATCTCTTAACAATGTAGTCGATGAAAAACCTTAATACGTTTCTTAAGGTGAGTACAGACTAGACTACTAGAGCATTTACTTGTAACAGAACAGAACAGTCGCTCTATGAAATGTGTAACGTGTCACCCTGTCACGAACTAAACCCATACATTTTACCATGTATTGTACCTACTATTCATTACGTTACATAGAACTCTAGTCTAACTGACGTTTATATAAAAGAAATATGTAAAAATTAAGTCAAAGGTTACAAAGAAAAGTTTTTAATTTAATATCAGCAATCCTAAACTTCGTTTTCATTTGTAATAACTGCCAGAGGCATTAAAACCAAGACCGCAATTTTTAACCAGCATCTACAAATGCCTCATGTCTGCCATCAGCCCCAATTACGGGAAAATATAACTGATATTATTTACTCGGATGCTTAAAGCTAGCTGCTCCTCCGTGATAAGGGCGAGCCGTTGAGTTATGGACCTTAAGTCGGTAAAAATAGAGTCGCAAGCAGTTTTCCGTCTCGTGATGATGCAGACAAATTTTCAGCTTCCGAGCGCAAGCGGACGAGGTCTTTTGCTTGATTTTATAAAATTTCTTGGAGCTATTAAACTTTATGATGGTAACTAAAATAAAAACGTTTTTCAACGGATTTTATAGGTGTTTCAATGTTAATACTTTTAACTTATTTTTTATCAATATTTGGGAAAAAACAATTTTTATACAAAGATAAATAATAATCACACAAAAATAGGATAGAAATCAGCAAAGTTTCCACAGTTATGCTGAGATTTAATTAAAATGATGTTGTTACCTTGTTTCTTGAATTTAATAACCCTTAGGGCCTTAGGGTGTAAGTAAATTTTTCATTCGTTTTTATGAAGAAAGTAATTTCAGTTGATTTTCGATTCAATTTTCCCAACAGTTATCATAAATTATAGCAAATCATAACTTTATTCTTGAGCCACCCGATCGCACAAATGTCTCTCACACACACATTTGTATGATATTGTCGGGCCGTGTATAAGTTTATTGGGGACTTACCTCTGGAAACCTCTACCCATCAAAAACAATACTTGTCAAAAAAACCAAGTCTCGCAACTCAGTTGTTCTACGGTAAAAAGTTGTGAGATCCATGTAATACCAAGTCCAGGCCAGGAAATCTTTAACGTTTTACATAAATTATTGACTTGGCCATCGCACTAAATAATTTAATTTACACGTGTTTTCATGCGATGGCCAAGTCAATATATTTATGTAAAACGTTAAAGATTTCCTGGCCTGGACTTGGTATTACATGGATCTCACAACTTTTTACCGTAGAACAACTGAGTTGCGAGACTTGGTTTTTTTGACAAGTATTGTTTTTGATGGGATCTCATTTCTTTTTGTATTTTGTAGACAGCAGTTATGTATCTAGAAAACTGGACCGAAATTGAAAAATTTTACTCGACTTGGCGGTTGCACTACCGTGCCCCCAAATATTTTAGTTTTTCCTTGATTCATACACCAAACACTACTTATATTCCAAATTTGAAGCTTCTAGGTCTGCTAGAAGTGCCTTAGAGTTTTGATGATCGGTGAGTCAGTGAGTCAGTGAGTCAGTGAGTCAGTGAGTGACAAAATTAAGTAACTTTGACCCGTTATAATTCTTAAACTACTGGTTCAAATTGAATGAAATTTTAAATATACCGTGTCTTTACAATGCCTGCATAGCTAATGAAAATTCAGCCTTCTAGTTCTATCCACAACGAAGTTACAGGCAGTCGAAAATGGCCTGAATTGCTTCGAGAAAAGGATGGTACGGCCGTGCCGCTTTTTTGCTCGACTTGGTGGGGGCACTGCCGTGCCCCCAGATTTCCTTTATTATTTGGGATTCGGATACATAAAAATGCAATAAAATCACGACTAAAGAAATCGCAAGCAGAAAATGTTATGAAATTCGCTTACCTATTCCAGTTACTTGATGGAATTTCTTTCTTGTTAGTGTAATTCCCTTTTGACTTTTGGGACGCCCTTAGAAGAATATTTCGAAGGCTAATATAGCGTGGAAAATTAAATAATTGAGTTTCAGATATGAAAGTAAAATGAGATTTCATGCATACCTGATCGAATTATCTTAGAAAGAGCCTATTATTCTAATGAACGCGCTCCCTTTCCAGCTCACTGAAGGAAAATTGAGTGGCTCTGAAAGAATACTTTATTTACATTTACGCACAATGTATGAATCGTCTATCATAATAAACTGCTAAATATGTAAATACTTAACTGTAGTCAATGATTCTTCCTCATTTAGTTCTTTTTAACATTAAAAAATAATTAATACTAGCTTTTGCCCGCGGTTTCACCCGCGTGAAATATAGTATGTCACAGATCGCCATAAATTATAGCCTATATGTTAATCTGGGTTATAAACAGTAATACTGTAAAGTTTCAACAAAATCCGTTCAGTAGTTTTTGCGTGAAAGAGTAACAAACATCCAGACATCCAGACATCATGACATCCAAACTTTCGCATTTATAATATTAGTAGGATTTCTCTACAAAAAGTAACTCGGTGTTGAGCTGTCTTCAAGATTACATTGTTAGTTGTAGAGGGCTAGAAGAGTCACTGCAATTCGCAGCCTACAAAGTTTATTTTCTGCTACCAACAACAAGACCATTTGCTTTGTGAAGATTTGAACGGCTCTCACAGAAACTATGGCATAATATAATTTTTGTTTCTTAGTTTGATCTAATTCACATAAGTGGTCATGCACACGCGTGTGTCTCTTGCGTCCATTACTAAATGATCTTCAATCTTTAGATTAGGTATGCTAGCGTGGTGAGTGTAGGCCTTCATTTGTGTCTGTATCATATTGAGAGGGTGCAGTGGAGAGAAGTCATAATGACATTGACATA